GCCTGACCTGGCCACTGCTAGCTCCTGCTTTTGCCGGGCTAAGCTGACGGCTCTCCGGGCCACCTCCACGGCCCGGTCCACCTTCTCCTTGACCTTGCTGCGCCGCAGTGGGATGAAGTTCTTCACCTTCCCGTTGACCAGGCGGTTGAGCTTGTACTTGCCCTCCTCCTTGGTGCCGTCGGGGTAGGTGGTGCGCCCATAGCCATGGCGACGGTTGCCCAGCCACTCACCCTCGTACCGGAGCCCGTTGGAGCGCCGGCTGACCCCGTAGCCACTGCGCCGGTCGGCTCGCCACTCCCCAGCATAAACCTCGGTGGAGGATCCTTCAATGGCCAACCGTGAAGGCATCTCAGGGGGCTCTGTCTCAGCATAGCTGAGTGTGGTGGCCTCACTGCCTGTTGAGCTGACCCCAGCCTCGCTCTTGAGGGAACCCCGCTTACTCCCTAGGGAGGCCTTGGACTCTGCCCGCCGCACCCGCAGGCCGCTCAGAAGCAGGGAGCGCCGGAAGAAGAAGCCCCCTGACTTTTTCTTGGTCCCCTTGGGGAAGTCTGGGTCGCCTGGGAAGGCCAGAACAAAGCCACCCCGGGAGCCGGAGGCTGGGCTGTCCCCTGGGAGCAGAGGAGGCGGAGGCAGTGGGGCAGAAGGCAGTGGGGCAGGAGATGCGCCAGGGTCAGGGTCACTGCGGAGCGACTCCAGGGAGGTTCGGCGCGGAGAGCGGACCAAAGCAGCCTGGCGGTAGGGGACACTCTGGCGGACGCCATACCCGTGACGCTTCCCAGTCTGCCACTGGCCTTGGTAGGTACCTGCGGAGGGTAGAGAGGGCATCAGAGGCGAGACGGGGGGTGGGGAGGGAAGCAAAGGGGGCTGGGAGGGACAGAGGGAAGGAGGGACAGAAGATGCACGAGTTTTGGACCTCAGTGAACAGAAGGATAGATGGATGGATAGGGGTGAGATGTCAGAATGGACAGAGAGAGGAAAGGAGTGTATGGAGGGGTTTTAGACCTCAGTGGATGGGTTGATGGACAGTCTGATAAATGGAGGGATGGATGATCAGACAACAGAATGACTGAACAGACATATGGGGGAATGGAGGGAGGATGCCTGGCTCAATGGATGGACTGATGGACAAACGGATGGATGGATGGATGGATGGATGGGATGGAAAAACGGACAGATGGATGGTAGGAAGGAGGGACGAAGCAAGGAGGGGGATTGGACCTCGGTGGATGGATAGACAGAAGCATGGACAGAACAGAGCACCAGTTGGGTGAATGGCGGTAGATGTGGCTAGGCTGTTGGACCAATGGCATATAGGAGGGCAGATGAAGGACTCACCAGGGCAGACAGAAGGCTGGGAAGACACTGCTTGGGGGTGGGGGAGACAAGTGAACCCCCCTCCATGCTCCTTCCCTGTCCAGCCTGACCTTCCACCATCCATCTGTCCACTGTTTTTGTTTTTGTCATCTGTCATCCATCCATCTGTCCATCCATCCACCCACCCAAGAATTTTCTGCATACCTCCATCCATCCAATCAGCCCTCCCCTCCCCTCCCCTTCCCTGCCCCTCTCACCTCCATCAGCATAGGTCTCGGTGCCGTAGCCGTCCTGCAGACCATCCCGCCATGTGCCCTCATAGGTGATGCCTGAGTGGCTCTCCCAGATGCCAGTGCGGCCCTTCAGCCCATGGCTCCACTCCCCCTTGTAGCACCATTTAGCCTTGCGCTCCACACCCAGGCCGTCCCGCTTGCCGTGACTCCAGTAGCCTTGGTAGGTGTTCCCGCCAGGCCAGGAGTAGACCCCCAGGGACTCGAACCCCCGGCGCCACTGCCCACTGTACTCCCCCTGGGCCCCGGGGCCCAAGCAAACCCCATAGCCATGTGCCCGGCCCTCCTCCCAGTCACCCACGTAGCAGCCTCCATCGTCAAACTCAAACCTGCCCCCGTTGGACATGCACGTAGTGGTGGGCCCCCCTGCACCGGCTACCCACAAGGCCCTGGGCTCATTGCCGGCCCTGCCCCCAACCGCCTGAGGTGGCACTGTCCAGCATGGAGTGGGAGGGTGGCCGTGGTCACTCCGCCATCAATGTGGCTGTCCTCCGTGGGCAGACAGCATTGAGGGTGGGGGATGTCTTCTGTTTGGGGAGGAGGGGCTACAGCCGGGCCCCGCTCCTGGAGCTCTTTAGTGACAGTTGGAGCAGCAGTAGTGGGTGACAGGTGTTGAGAAAGGCTGGCGGCCTCCGTGGAAAGTCCTGTTAGGGCCACAAGATGTTTCCACCTACTGGTGGACAATGGAGCTACAGTCAAACACCAGTCCCAGAGTCCTTTGGGGGAGATACAGGCACTCAGGGGAGCTACAGGCTTCAGGAGATCTGGAAATCCTCCACTGACAGGCAGACAGTGGAGCTCTAGTTGTAGGGAGACACCTGAAATCCTCCACCTACAGGCACACGATGGAGCTACAAGCGCATATGGATCCCAGAATCCTCCAGCTACAGGCACAGGGTGGGGTGACAGGCGCACAGCAACTGCATGCGTTCTTGGGCTATAGGCATACACGGGGAGTACAGTCGTGCAAACGTACTGAAGACCTCCACCTACAAGCGCACAGTGGAGTGTGAGGATGGAGAAGCCCAGTATTGTCCCCTCTGGCAGGGTAGTCTGTCTGAGACTTCTCTAGCTATAGAAGGGGAAAAAATGGGGTTGTTGTTGTACAAAAGTTCCCCACTTCTTTGGCTACATGTGTCAGGAAGCCTTGACACTTACAGGTGTCCCTACAGTTCGATGGTGCCCTAGAGTCCTGCAATGACTGGGACAAGGTGAATGTCAGGCTAAAGGCATACGGGGCTCCCAGACTTCTAGTACAACAGTTGTAGCATGGTCCCAGAGTTCATTGGGTACAGGCAGATGGCTTCCTTCAGACCTGTAGGGACCTTGGGATGTGGTCACGCCACGTCCTGCTGTGTGCCCGTCTCCTACAGGCAGAGGGACTGGCTGTTCTCTGGTAACAGGTGCATGCCCACCCTGGGTAGCTCCAGCTCCAGCTCCAGCTGTAGGATCCTCCCAGAGGTGGCCGGGAACAGGCAGTCCTGGAGTTCTTGAGTTCCTGCCGTATCTAGATACAAGCAAAGCAAGAGCCCCGACTCCGCTGCCTACAGTCATCCATTGGAGCAACACACCAGAGATTACTGTTACAGGTATGCGGTGGATGGGATGGGCTTGTAAGTCCTCCAGATACAGGCTGATGGCAGTTTCTCTGGCTACAGGCAGATGGCGGGGGTGCCAATGGGATTCTCTGTCCTACAGGTGGATGGGGGCCAAGAGCACTGCAGCTACAGGAGGACAGTTGCCAACAGGCTCAGGAAAGGCCTCTGGGGTCTCTGGCTACAGGCGTTGGGCTCTGTTCCTTGTCGCTGGTGGCTCAGAGGGGGTCCAGGTGTTGCCAGGAAGTAGACAAGTCTGTGGAGGGCAGAGCTGAGCTGGGGGTACTGGCCATGGGCCTCATGGTACAGGGTATCTACAGTGAGAGGAGACAGAGGGGCCATGGGGGACAGGGAACAACCATCCCCCTGCCCCACAAGCAACAGACAGACAAAAATACACATGCCCCAGTCAAAAAAAAATCATACCATTCCTATTGACATGCATTTAGCCCAAATCTAGATAAATGGAGGGATGCAGAGGGCCAGATGGAGCGATGATGGGGCGTGGAGGGTATGGAGGGATGGATGCATGGATGGAGGATGCAGGGATGGATCAGGGCCATGGGGGAATGGATGGATGGGTAGATGGATAGATGGGTTGATGAGGGCTACAGGGATGGATCAGGGCCATGAGGGAATAGATGGATGGGGGCTAGGGCGACGGATAGTTGGGAGTTATGGGGATGGACGGATGGAGACTGGGGGGATCGGTGGATGGAGGGATGAGGGTTATGGGATGCCTGGAAAAGAAGGGTGTGACTGGATTCTTGGAGGAGCAAACAGCCAGGCAGAAGGGGCTGATAAGGATGGAGACATGATGAAGGGTGTGCATGGATGAACAGAGGGATGTGTGGGGCCCGATGGAGAAACCCGAGGTGGTGGTTTGAGAGCCGTGTGGCTGAGAAGGATGGAGGGCTCACAAGTGCCTGCGCGGGGGGTGGAGGGAGGGATGGCTGGATGAAGGGGTGCAGAGGGAGGGATGGCCCCCAGCTCCCACCCAACGTCGCCACTGGTTTCCTGCCACTCACCCGGTCTCGTCGCTGCGGGGCGGGGGGTCCATGCAGCCGGGAAGTAGGGGAAGGAGAAAGCCCAGATGGAGGGAGAGACACAGACACACCCCGAGCAGCGGGAGCGGCTGCGCTCACAGCCGGGCGGCGGGGGAGGGAGGGAGCGCGG